ACAATATTATTTATTAATTATATACAATAATATATTAATTTGTACAAAAAATAGAAGTATATTATAAAAAAGATAATTTTAGTGTAAAATATTAACAAAAATAAAAATATGATATTTTTATATTTTTGACCTAATTATTTAATAAGATAAAGTATATAAGTATATATATATGTATTAAATATATTAAATATATAAAAATAAAAATTAATTATTTACAAAAAAGTGTATATTCTAGAAAATATTTTCAAATGTAAATAAAAATAATAAATGCAGATAAGTATATTTTTGTATTATTTTTTGGAGTTTTTAATAAAAAGGAAATAGTTTATTTACATATTTACTAGTAATAAAAACAATAAATGTGAAATAAATATGAAAAAATATAAAATAATTTTTTTGGCATTTTTTATATTTGAAAAAAAAAATAAAGTCAAAATAAAAAATAAAAATATCAAAATGACAATTATTCAAACAAATGGGCCAGGGGGGTGTAAGCTGAACAAAAGGGTGTCAAAAGCAAAAGGATCCAGGCCCAGCCCAGAATCACTTCTTCTTCTTCCTTGGAACAAAACCTGCGCGCGTGCTATGTACAAAACTGTAATTCCTGATTCTTTGATCTTTTGACAAAACTCATAACATGAACATTATAGAGAATTAAACAACGAATCTAACCATATAAAAAACTTGGATTAACTCTCAAAGACCAGAGAGAATTTCTCTGGCCCTAATTTCTAACCTAGTTTTTTCAGAAAGTTCATGAGTGAAATTCTCTTAGCACGATTAATATAAATGAAAACTAAGCATATGTATGGCTTCAGGGCTATGAGTACAACATATTTCATTCACAAACCTAAGCCTAACCATTCCTAAATAGGGAGATAGAAGTCCATGAAATACCTGTTTCAGTTGACTTCGAGCTGGACAATGCAGCAACCTTCAATGGTGTTTGAGCTTCTTTTGAGCTTGCCTGAGGTCCAAGGAAGCTTTTCCAATGCTTGGCTTGTTTTGAAACAACTTGAATCGTGCTGTAGAACTCAACCTGCAGTGCTTTGAAATGAAAATGGAAAAGTGTGTTAGAGGTGTTACAGCTTGCAATGGGGGCCTGGAATAGTTCAGGTGAGTTGATTGGAAGGTGTTTGAACTATCTTTGGACAAAATGCACGATGGAATTTGGTTATGGCTTGCAAAATGCAGAACTTGCCCTGTTTTGTAGAAAAATAGTGATTCTGAGTATGAGGAGGTTTGAGTGATGAAAGGGTCGTGTTTCAGGCTTGTTGGGAGGTATGGAACTTGTCTACAAGGTTTGTCTAAGCTTGTTTTAACAGATGTGTGAGATTGTATATGTTTTGCCACTTTTCTTCCTTTTCAAGCAAGCATGTGGAAGTGATGTTATAGCTTGGTACAAGCCCTCCTATCATGTTGTATCTTTTGCTATTGGTTCTTGGAATTGATAGCTTCAGTCTTGCTTCAGAGATATGGCCCCATACCTCAAGGATTTTGGTTTGACATAAAGTGCACTTTTACAAAAATGGCATTTTACCTTTTTCCAAATAAGGGTTAATCTTGTATGTAATGTCCAAATGGCCAAGATAACACCTTAATTCAATGGTTATGCATTAAATTATGAAGTGCAAGTTGGTTTTGAGGCCTGCAAGCTAGCACCAAACATGCTGATTTGAAAATGCAAGTTTGTATGAACATGTATTGGTCATGGACAAAAGTGAGTTTTTGCCAACTTCAAGCATTCGATTCTCTCTAACCACAAGGGTGTTTGAGGAGTTCTTGGACAATTTGGAAAGCTTGCAACATGTACTATAATACATATTTGACATGCAACTTGAAAATCCAAGTGGAACTATGTGAAAAATGGCCAAGAAGATGGGTCAAAATCCTGCCTAAACTAGGGCAAAATTTCCCTAAGTTAAAAGTTTTAGGTACCCTTGTTCCAAAAATCATAACTTGAGATACAAGCTTCTTTTGAGAAAACTTTGTGAATAAAAGTTGTATACTTTGTGATGGACTACAACTTTCATGTTTTAAGTTTTGTTTGAATCTATTTTCATCTTGGTGAAAAAATGGGACAAAGTTAGGAAAAAATAAGAAAATTTCATAACTTAGAAAATTTCTAAGTTATGAAATTTTTCCATTTTAAACCCTAATTTGCATTTTTGGGTTTCTTGATGAACAAGTTTCATAATTTGATATGTCTTGATGAAAAATAACTCTTGGCACTTGATTTTGACCAAAAAGTCAAAGTTTGACTTTTCAGTGTATAGTCAAATTTTGATCAGTTGACTGAAAAATTCATCTGTCAATCCAATGCATTTGAGATCTTTTGAACTTGTTGGATAGGTCAAGACAATTTCATTGAATCCTTGAGTCCATAGTTGAGCTTGATTGGCCATTGGTTAGGTCAAACAGTCAAAAATTGCCTTTGTACAGTCAAAACCCTAAAAAATGACCATTTTGCCCTTTTGGTGATCTGATCAAATTTCTTATGGAATTGTGATCCAAACTTGATCAAATGACATATATGAGTTCATTATGTTGATGTGGGTCAAAAATCATGAGGTTTTACTGTCAATTGGCCACAATTGACTTTTTCCCCAATACAATTGATTTCTAGGTCAATTGTCCAATTGACTGGGCAAAAATTTGAATCAAGGCTTGAAACTTGGTATGGACAAACTTGTGAGTCCAACATGAAGTATGAAAGTAAATTTGGGTATTGTAGGCCAAAACATCACTGTGCAAACTCAAACCCTAATTTAGGTCAACAATGCAAGGAGGAGTCTTGAGCAGAGCAAACCCTAGCTTGATCTTCAGTTCCAGGAGTTTGGTGATGAGAAAATGTTGATGAAATGGGGGCAAATTTTGGGGTACAACAAGTTGGTTTGTATTTTGTTACCTTGAGAGAGGGTTTAAGTGTGATTAGCATGTTATTGATTTGATAAGAAAGGAGGTTTTAGTTTTGAATGCAAGGATGCAAAATGGGAAGAAAGGAGTCTATGAGGGAATAGCCTATTTCTAACCTAATGTTGTCATGAAAGGGTAGTCCTAAGGTTTAGATGAAAGGGAAATCTCCACCTAATGTTAGCATGCATGGCTTGCAACCTGAGGTATAACTTGCATCCGAAAGGAACAAGTATCCTAAGGGAACATGGTATCTACAAGGATAAAACAAGAAAGCTCGGAAGAGTACACACATAAAATAGTAAGGAAAAGAAGTGAAATGTGTTAGCCAAGGGGAGCGTATCACCCGAGACAAACAAGCGGGAGTAGGATGTAAAACAAAAATGTGATGCCAAAGCAACTGAACACCTAACCAAGATATAGGAGACCGAGGTAGGAAAATGAAGGTAATATGAACGATCACGGAGTATCAGCATCGACCAATGCGAACTCTTGATAAAGCGTGGGGGTTCGATTACGGAACCCTGCCCCACTTGACGACTCGATAAACATGAGCAAACACAATTCCAAAGCTTCATGGTGCATCACGAGCTAAGGATGACACAGACGAAATTGTAGGGTTTGATTGCGAACCCTTTCCGCTCGCCTCCTTTTGAGGACTTATCATTTGTACATATGCGGGCACAAATATAAACACACCTGCAGAATACCTACTCAAAGATAGGGTTTTAAACAACCACAAATAGAAAACAAAATGCACACAATGCGGAATTGCCCTAAACAGGTCTTTAAATAAATCATAGGGGTTCCTGACATGATCAGAAACGGAGACCCCCATCATACATCTCTACCCTACTTCTCATGGCATTATAAAGCATTAAAGCCCTACTTCTCATGACATCTAGAAAAGCAGTAAAGAAGTATGATAAAACGAGGAAATGAGGAATAAAATGAAGTTATGATGATACCGAACAGAGAAGGTCCATTGCCTCTTCAAAACCACGCAAGCGATAAGAAAACTCTACCAAAGCTAACAAAGAAGATTTGTTGCATCTTCAAAGCCACACAAGCGATAAGAAAACTCTACCAAAAGCTTCCATGAATTTCTCTTAATGAAAATTATACTCTTTGCTAGCTTCGAAACCTCTTGAAACTCTTAAAAAAATCACCCCGCAATTGTGCCAACACATATCATAGATCGAGCACTACTATCGTACACATGTGGCATCAAGATATCTCAAGAAAGGATCCAAAGATTAGCACAATAATTGATTATTAAAGAAATCTAATTAAATTTCTATAAATCCCCAATATTTCATGCTACTTTTATTAATACCTCTTTATCAACATAATCTATAAAAAATCATGTAAAGAGAAACTAATAGAAAATAATTAACATTCTACGTTAAGGGGGTGTAAATTTTGGGCCTGGGTGTTTGGTACAACCACAATGGCACTAAGCCCATACAGAAACTTGGCACAAATCCAACTCATTTCACCATTCCAATTTTCAGCATTATTTGGATAATTATATGCAGCAAGTTGTAAAACAATTAATAATAGAATAGAAAAAAATTGAAACAAACTAAATGCCAAATTGAAACTTGAACGATGTTGTATTGATGGAAAAAGAGTTAGGGTTAAACAGTGTCCTCTGAACTTCTTTGAACCAGAGATTCTTCTCCTCTTCCTCGTACTGCACGACTCAGTGAACGACCTTCTCCATTTACTTTCTGATCGGCCTCCGCTCACACACGATTCTCCTTCTCCCATTCTAATACAATTCCACCTTCGAGATTACAACCGGAGGAACACTCGTTCATAGATTCAACAATCTAAAAGAAATTACATCATGGAATTGAAGAAGAGAATTTACCGACTTCACAACATCCAAAGAACTCCGCAAAAATCGGGTACATGATCTTTCCATAAATCTTGTTTATTTTTCTTTCTTCTCTTTTCTGATTCAAGTTTTCTTCTCCTTTTATTTTTATTTCCGTGTATGTGTTAGTGTGTTTCTTCAGATATGTTGTTGTTTATGTGCACGTATTGATGTTGTTGTGCAGAAAAATACACAAGTGTGAACGATGATGGTGATACTCGACGATGATAATAATGATGTCGTAGAAGATGACGATAACCTGTTGAAGACGTGGCAGGTTTACCTCTGAAGACGATTATGAAAGATGAAGATAGGTGTAGATGATGAAGCTTTGAAGTAGTTGATGGTGGAGGTGCTTGATATATGAAGAAGATACATAGATGTGGTTGATAATTGTTGCAAATCAGAGAGAACCCTGAAGGTAAGTTTTTCACTTTCTGTGTTCTTATGAAGACTGAATCGTGAATCTGCTTCCCTTTTCTGTTATGAATTATGAGCCATCTTTTTCTGTTATTCGTTCTTCTCTTGGCTGGAAGTCTCTTATGTTTAGGAAGTTATGGAATTGGTTAGGCGGTTAGGTTTTGGTTCAGCTTTGCTGTTGGTTAGAAAATAGTTCAGATTTTCTGTTGTAATTTCTGTTTAGAAATAGTTAGGAGGCTTTTTGGACAGTTGTTTATGGTTAGAGGAAGTAAGAAATTTTGTTGGGAAATTGGTTATAGGTAGTTAGTTGGTGGGTTGAAACCCTGCTAGAAGGAACAAATGGTGAGGATGAGAGATTACAAGACATCTATCTATAAAGTTTCTGTTAAATTGGTTTTCTATTAGAGGTTATAGGTGAAAAATAAGGAAAGTAGCCATTTTGTTAGAGAAGTTAAAAGTTAGTTATAAAACTAAACTGAACTAAAACTTCAAAGAATTAATTAGTTTATTTTCTGCTATGAAAGTTAGTAAAAATATTAGTTTGTTAGAAGTTATTGATGAGTTGGATTTTCTTACTGACTGAACTAGTTCTGGAGGTCATGGCTAATTGTTTTTGAATTTTGAACCGATTTATATTGATTTTTGAAATCACAAGTTTTAAATTATGTGATACAAATGATCAATCGGTTTCAATGTGCAGGTCTGCTTTGATCTTGTTTAGCATCTGTTTTGGATTCATTTTGTAGGGGTTGGGAAATCATGTTATCTTTCTATTGCAGGTAGTTATAGAAGTTTGTCATCGTTTTGTGGGGCTGCATTTCCTTCTGATTCTTTATGTTCTTAATTTTTCTTGGACTGAGGTATTTTATTTATGAACAGGTTTTGATGCAGGTTAATCGTCGGGAACTGGTCTTGATTCAGGGCTTGGTTTTAATTAATGATTGTTTTGCGTTGAATGTAGTGCAAACTTCAGTTGCTCGATCAGGCATTTAAGTTGTTGTTAGCATGGTCATTGGAAGCATGAGGAGGCATCGATCCATGCAAGTAACTTGAAGCAAATGAAGCAAAGAGGTTGATAAGGACAAGGTTTAAAACATAAAGAATGATGGAGAAAATAAAGATGGAAGACTAGTTATTAGGTTTATGAATGTTCCTATGTAGTTTTCACTTGGAATTTCTTTTGTAAGAGCATGGATTTATAATGTGATGGAGTTGGGACAAAATTTGATGTAATGGCTTTTTTTACACTTGAAATTTCCTTTTCTAACTTGGTGTAATGTTTTTGGTGCCATGAAATGATCTTGTACTTGTACCTTTGAAATAATGTTGATAATATAATGGCAACTTCCAAGTAGATTTCCATTTCACTATTTTCTTTCTTTTGCTTTTGTAATGATGTTTACGAAATGATGATGACTTTGTGATGTAATGAGAACCTTTGGGGTCTAATGACAAAATTCAAATACTTCAAGTATCCTTCTCTCTTGTCTCTAATTTTGTATTCGCTTCTGGATGCGCCATGGACATTATCCATCAAAGTCTTGAATAACCAAATTTCCTTTGGCATTTATGGATGGATCACCAAGCTTTAAAAACTTCAAATGATTGAATGAAATTTGTGATTCTATGACCTCTAATTCCTAAAATATTAGTGTTTCCTAAGATTTTTAGGCATTTAGTTTGTGATATTTAACTGAAATCCAAAGAAAACTTGTGTTATAGGTAATAAGTGTTTGTAACTTATTTTCCAAGAAATCCAAGTGACTCTCTAATATTTGAATCAACTCTTGACAAACCAAATGATCAAGAACTTTAAAACAATCTATTTTCAATCTGATGAAACCATGGACATGTCTTAAACCTACATCAAGTAATGAATTCCTTGAAGAAATCTCGATAATGGCCTTGGAGCTTGAGGAGAAAGAAGTCATCACCAGCCATGAGTCAAAACCTATCTCCACAGTCCAATACTAAGAGAAAGAACCAGATGAAATTAATCTTATTATATATATATATATATATATATATATATATATATATATATATATATATATATATATATATATATATATATATATATATATATATACCTCAAACCAACTGTGAAACCCTAATTCTTCAAGATCGCTTATCCCAAGCTAAGTTTATTGGTTAATGATGCGTGATGCGTTAAATGACCTAATGAAAAGGTAATGCTTGTGAAAAATAAGAGATGCATAAGCAAGATGTTTTGATGAAAGGGTAGGACAAAGTTAGGGTATTACAATAAGACATTAGTATCATAGGGCATGGGTTCGATCAAGCCTTTTAACACTTTATTTCTCTAATATTTCATATTTTGCAGGTTTGATACAAATCGTGCTAGATGCGTATCCTAGCACCAATGACGCGTAGCTCAGTTGGCAGGCGTGCATACTGGAGAGGCAGGGGTCATGAGTTCAACACTCATGTCCAACATTCTTTTTTCCTCTTTTTTTTACTAACCCTATTTTCTCCCTTTTTTATGCTAACCCTAAATTCTTAATAACCTTAATTATTTTTCTTTAATAAACATTAAAACAAATTAGGTTTACTTTCTTTCTAATAAATTAATTTTTGATTTTTTCTTAATTAGGATAATTAGTTTCGATTAATTTAATTACCTAACTTTTTTGATTAATTAAAATCAATTAGACTTTAGGATGATTATCAAAACTTTTTCTTCAAACGATCACAAAACAATTTTTAATTTTCTTTTTCACTTTATTTTATCATCTTCGCGTATTTACTTTCGCATTAATTTTCCCAATTAAGTTACTGCTACGGTTTGTAATAATTTTAATTAGGGTTTACTTTTCCTCCCTAGTTTTATGGTTTTGTACCCGCTTCCCCGAAGCTTTGTAATAGCATATGATATTTACTTTCTGCAATTTACTGCTTTCCTTATAACTGCTAGTTATTAGGCATGTATGGCAAGATCTAAAACCAATCATAAAGAAACCCTAATCAAGATAAATAAGTGAATTGAATCACTTTTCACACACTCACCTCTAGGGTAACCCCACTTGTTACCTTCGGAAACATAGTCATATCCCTCGAACGTGGGGACGCTTTAGCAAAGTCCCTCCAATATAAAAGATCGTAGTCCATCGATGACACTTACAATGCTGCCTTCGGTAAACAATCTTATTCCCTTATGATAAATTGCTAAAGCATCCTTACGAGTTGCCTTTATGACTGAATGATGACCCGCGCATGTCCCTTTACATCCAACGATAGGACTTTCTACTAACTAATGGTAGGGTAGCACTATCTTAGGAGGAGGAAAATAACATGAATGATCTTTGAGTAGGTAGATGGCTCGTAATCGCTTGCTCACAAAAACAAATATTTTCTCACAAACACTTTTCTCTAAAATATTTTCAAAATAAACACTTTGTACACATTCTTAATGATACAAGAATCATTACAAAGTTTTCGTACTTAGGCATTTTCAAAATATTTGCAAACATACACACAAAGCATTTCAAATCAAAAGTGAGCTAGCGATTAAGAGTCCGTAGATAACTAAGGATGAAAAGGATGTTAACACCTTCCCTTTTCATAATCTACCACCCGAACTCAGAAAATTCTCGATGGTCTTTCCTGTTCTTTTCACCCTTTCCTTTTGGATAAAAGAAAAGTCGGTGGTGACTCTGGTTATCCACAATATTTGCGATAAAATGCAAAACCAAGTCAGTTCTCCCACCGTATTACACGTAGATGGTTAGACACGGAGGCGTATAACATAAGAGGCGTGGGTTTGATCCCTACGTTTTGCAATTATTTTGTTTCTTTTCCAAACTAACGTGCATGTTCATAATACATTGATTCATTCCCAGTCAACATCACAAATGAACGCATAACCTAGTGGTAAAGGGAGCATCCTATGAGGCCAAGGGTGTGGGTTCAACACCCACCCCATGCATTCTTTTGTTTTCTAATTTTTCTAACCCTAATTTCTTTCCCATTTTCTTAATTAATTCTTTTTAATTAATCATTAACAAATCCTAATTTTTCTTAACACTTTAACAAATTAGGGTAAGGGTTTTTAATTAGTAATTAAATTTTTTGATATATGTTATTTACTAATTAATTAATTTATTAACCTTTTTCTTAATATTAAAATTAATTAGAAACAATTAGATTTTAATTAATTATTAACACTTAAATTATCTTCTACACAAAAACATTTTAACATTTTAACATTCTTTTTCTTATTACTTTTTACTATTTAGTTTTCTTAGACAAAAATGTATAGGTCGCACTATCGATGTAATAGCTTAGATTTATATTCCCGCTTTTTTTCTTCTAATTATGTATCTGCTCCGAGGATGTAATAGCGTAGTGTGATCGGTGGGAATGAGAACTGACTGTTTTTTAATGCTGGTTCGTGTTTTCGTTTGTTTTCGCAAAGTGTCGCGGTAAGCAAGAGTCGCCACCGTCTTTTATTTTATCCAACAAGGAAAGGACAAAAGCACAGAAAAAATTCCTTTTCGAGATTTTTCTCGGGTTCGGGAGGTAGATTATAGAAAGGGAAGGTGTTAGCACCCTTTCTATCCGTGGTTATCCACGGGCTCTTAGGTACTTGCTCACTATGTTTTCAAAAGTTTGCTTTTCTTTGTGATTGTGGGTTTTGAAAAAAGTTTTGTTTTTGAAGAGAGTGTAAGTGCGAAAAGTTTTTGTTTTGTTTTTTTAAAAGAGAGCAAGTACTTAAGAACCTCTACCTACTCAAAAAAGAATTAAACTGTGTAAATGTCCTTTAGACAATGCTATCCCATTATTAAGGAGTAGGTAGCACCGTCGTTGGAGTTTTCGGGTCAATTCGATTTTAGGGACGTGTGGTCACTAAAGCAACATTAGGACATCTTAGTGGTAATCCTAATGTCTTAGATCATTTTTATCGAGTCAACCATTTCGAGGCAACTTTGATCTTTGGACAGAAGGACGACCTCTAAAACATCCTATACTTAATGACCACGCTCGAGGCAACCAAGTGAGGTGTACCCTAAGAGTGGTATGTGCAAGTGTGTCAATTTTCAGTTATATTATCTTTACATGTCATGGTGGGCTACTGTTTGTTTTTAGATTTTGTCATACAATCCTAGTTAGCATACATCTAAGCAGTTAATATATATATATATATATATATATATATATATATATATATATATATATATATATATATATATATATATATATATATATATATATATATATATATAAGAATTTAAAGTGCGGAAATTGTAAATCCTACGCTATTACAAGGCTTCGGGGAGGGGGATTATTTAAATGTCCAAAATTGGGGGAATAATAAGTAGTTACAATAAAATAAACGCGCGTGAATCTTAAAAAATCCTAAGCATATAATCTTTTTGTTGTTTTATTTTATTTTGGGAAAATGCTAAATGCTCAATTAAGTTAAATTTAATTAATTAAAAATAAAAAAAACTGATTAAAATTAACTCTAAAACAAACCTAATATTTTTGCATTTTTTTGTTTATGAAAAGGATTGAATTTAAATAAATCCTAAGTCTACTGATTTTAAAATTGAAGAAAATAAGTTAAAATGATTAACTAAATTAAATCCTAATACTAAGTTACTTATTTTTTATGATGATTAAAAAAAACAAACTAAAAGAAATAAACTAAAACAAAGTAAACAAAGTACAAATGGGCCAGGCAGCAAAACAAGAAAAAAATGTAATTCTGGAGGCCTGGGTCGAAAGAGGTGCAGGTTGTCTTTCGACCCAGTGAAGAAGCTGGATCGAAGGTGCATGAGGGGCTGCACTCTGAGGGTATTCGATCTGGACATGTCATCCTTCAAACTGGAAGTCCTGGGTCCAGTTCGAAGCTAAACTGCTGAGCTTCGAAACTCTGAACAGGAATCTGATGATGTAGTTCCTGCAAAACGAAACACATGTTAAAGGTCCAGTGGGGATTTTACCCCCCCTGGTTCGAATCTCCCCCTTATTCGCACCTGCTGAATCTGGGTCTGGGTTTGT